CACTCCCTCCGCCGCCTCCGCCGCCACCGCCACCGCCCCCTCCAGCTCCACCCGCGCCCTTGCCCCCCTTGCCCTTGCCAGAGCGACGTCTCCCACTAGGGGCAGACGCCGCGCCGACCGACTCAAGACCAAGCAGGTCGGCAGCAGCAGCAGAGGCAACAGAGGGCAGCAAGGGGGAAGGAGAGCACCCCTCAAAGATGGGGGTGCGAGGGTCTCCACGAGAAGCTCCTACAGCGACTATGCTCTTCTCCGCTGCGAGGAGGGCCTTCTCGAGGACGTCGACGGTGAGGGTGGTGGGACAGACTGCGAGAAAGTGGTCCCTGACTACGCGAAGGGAGTCAGGGAGGCGTGCGACTACGTAGTAGAGAGTGATGTACATGGGGGGGGGGTTCTTAGCGCAGAACTCAGCAGGAAGGGCGGCGCGGTAGCGAGTGTCACTAGTGCGGAGGTGCGTAATGAGGTCAGCGACAGTGGGAAAGGCAGAGAGGTCAGGAAAGAGGTAGGGAAGCATGAGACGGCTCAGTGCAGCAGTGGCAGGGGAGGAGTAGCGCGCAACTACAGCGTCGTACAAGGTCTGAGCACTCTTGTACTGACTAAAGTGCGCGCGCTCAGAGGTAGGGAGGTGGCGACGCACAGCAAGACGTGCAGCAGCATCGCGGGTGGCCCACTGAGAGCGCACAGTGGGATCAGCATCAGCAGCAGGAGCAGGAGAGGCGCCAGAGGTAAGGTCAAAGAGAGAGAGGCCGTCTGCCCTATCGCACTGTAAAAACAACTGCAGGTCGTCTACCCAGACCTCAAAGTCAATGGCGCGACCCTCAGCGTCAAAAGCTAGGACACTAGGGGTAGCCATGACGACGACAGCGAAGCAGTGCAAGCAGTAGGGGAAGAGCACGCAGTGACAGTGGGACTGTGCTCACCAGGCAGGGCAGGCCGGGCAACTCTGCAGAAGGGCGGCTCGGCGTCTCAGCGACTCGGCTGCTGGGCGGCTCGGCTCCCGGGCGGCTCGGCGGCAGGGCGGCTCTGGGGCAGGGCGGCTCGGCTTCCGGGCGGCTCGGCGGCAGGGCGGCTCGGGTGCAGGGCGGCTCGGCTCCCGGGCGGCTCGGCGGCAGGGCGGCTCGGGTGCGGGGCGGCTCGGCTGCACTGCTGCTCGGCTGCTGCAGGTGGGCGGCTCGGCTGCTGCAGGTAGGGTGGCGGGGCCGCGAGATCAGGGTCAGCGGGGCCGAAGTATCAGGGCCGGCAGGTGCAGCGGCGGGGACGGCGGGGCCGCAGCTGGTGGAGCGGAGGGGCCGGCAGAGAGAGCGGCGGAGCCGCGGCTGAGCAAGCGACGGGGCCGGCGGCGTAGCGGGCGGCGGGGCCGCGTCGTAGTCGGCGGCTGGGCCGCGTCGTAGCGGGCGGCGGGGCCGCGTCAGAGCAGGCGGCGGGGCCGCGTCAGAGGTGGCGGCGGGGCCGCGTCAGATCAGGCGGCGGGGCCGCGTCAGAGGTGGCGGCGGGGCCGCGTCAGATCAGGCAGCGGGGCCGCGTCAGAGGTGGCGGCGGGGCCGCGTAAGAGGTGGCGGCGGGGCCGCGTCAGAGCAGGCGGCAGGGCCGCGTCGAGCAGGTGGCGGGGCCGCTTCGTAGCTGGCGGCGGGGCCGCGATCGGGCGGCGGGGCCGCGACGTGGCGGCGGGGCCGCGATCGGGTGGCGGGGCCGCGATCAGAAGGGGTGGCGGGGCCGCGTCTGAGGGACGGCGGGGCCACGAGGGAAAGGGCGACTCGAGGGGTCGCTAAAAAAAAAGGTGCGCGCCTCGGGGCGCGCTTCGGTGGGCCCTAGGCAACGTTCCCACAGGGAACTCGCTCTATACCATGTGAAATAAATGACCAGGAATGAAATGACTAAGTCAGAGTTGGGTACAAATACAACCCTAGAAAGCTGTACCCCAAATGTGCTACCCCACTATAGCCTACAAACATGCATCAGCTATAATAATCTGACAGTCGAGGTAAACTATCACGCATTTATCTAAGAGTGGCCTAAACGCCTCGTTCATGGTCATCTGAAATGTTGCGGGCGCGTTGGTCAGCCCGAAAGGCATCACCGTGTACTCAAACGACCCGTACCTAGTCCTAAATGCTGTCTTGGCGCACTCCGATGGTTCGACCCGAATATGATGGTAACCCCCCCCGTAAGTCTATTTTCGAAAACACCCGTGCTGTTCGCAGTTGGTCGATTAGTTTGTCGGCGCTGGAATGGGGTACCGCGACTTGACTGTTACCCTGTTGAGCGCTCGGTAATCGATGCACATGCGAAACCCTCCGTCTTTTTTCGGTGTGAACAATATCGGTTCGGCAAACAGTGACGAACTTGGTCGAATAAACTGCTTTTCTAACAAATAATCTAACTGCTTCCTTAGTTCGTCGAGCTCGGGCTGTGTCAGTCTGAACTGGCGCTGTACAGTTGGCTATGCCCCCGGTTCTAACTCGATCCTATGATCATGCGCCCGCTGAGGTGGCAGCCCTTCCGGTAAGTCGTCTGGAAAAATCCCCGGGTACCGTTTCAACAGTTCCTGTAGTTCGGGCGGTACTGCTGCCAACAGTTTCTGAAAATCGCTCGGCTGCTCCGTTTCTCTCACTAATGCTATATCTACTGCGTACACGTCAGCTCCAGCGGCAACAACCCGTTTCATCGTGATGGCGTTGACGTGGACCGTTGAAGACTCGGGCGACTGCCAGCGAGGTAGCTCGACCCAGTTACCACTACTTCGCACGGTGCAGCTACCCGTCGTCCAGTCAATTCGCGGGTTATACCGTCGCAGCCCATCACGTCCCAATAAAATATCGTGCCCATCCAGTGTCGTTGCGAGCATTTCCTGTGTAAATCCGAAATTTCCCCCGCATCGGACTTTGACTCGCTCTACCTTTTCTCGTATGGCTTCTGGCGTGCCGTCGACTAAGCGTGCGTCTATCTCCGGTAAGCAACGGCTAAGTGTCAGCTGTTGTTTTCATGCGGTTGCGGTATTAACTAAGCTGTGGCTTGCTCCTCCGTCGATAAAAACCTTCACTACTGCTCCCTGTATTTTCCCGTGGATTAGTACTGGGCAATCCGTCGCTGTACCCTCCTTATTCATCCGAGCCCGATCGATGGCGTGAATCGGTACTGTGACTCGGTGAGGGTCAGTGTGGTTGGGCGAGCAGGCAGTCTCGTCAGTAGTTGGCCCAACTTCTACTGACTGCTGGCGTTTCCCTGCCTCCGAGACTCCCCCCCCTGCTCTGCTCCGCGGCGCCTTAGCTCCTCTGGGCATTCGCTCTTGCGATGGCCCGGCCTGTTGCAAGCAAAGCAGCGCCCCTTAAACGGTACGGCAGCTGCATTCGTTGCAACAGCGTTTACAGTGGCGTGCTCGATCGGTCCCCGAGGACGATGTCCGTAGTAGGACCCCGGTCTCGGTCGACGTAGAATGTCGATTTTCTTGGCGAGCACGAGAATCTCGTTGAAGTTCGAGAGTCCGCGCAGCATGATTTCGTGCGAGATATCCAGCTTCAGCCCTCCAACATAACGGTCCACCCGCTCTGCTTCGTGCATGTAGCCGACCTTCTTGCAAAGTGCGAGAAAACCGCTCGTGTAATCTTGAACCGACCCAAACTGCCGCCAAGTGCGCAATCTCTGACGCGCTGAAATAGAAGCTGCGATCGGCTCGAAGCGCGCCCGAAGCCCTGCGCACCACGCATCCCACGTGCTGTATTGGACGGTCTCGCAGAATGAACTCCAGGAGACAGCTGGACCCGTGGGCCCTTCCTCTTGCGACGGTGGCTCGTAGGCGCGTGGCGACGTCACGATGACTCGCCACCAGTCCATGGCGGGGCCCCTTAACAGCGAAACGGCATACCGAATCTTCGTTGCGTCCGACTCGACGTAATTCGCGTCGAAGAAGACGTTCATCGTGAAAACCCACGATTGAACCGTCAGACCTCCACGTTGGCTTGGGTCGAAGCAGGGCGGGCGTTGCGGCTTGAGTGGCATGGGTGCCATAATGGCCTGTTCGCCACTTGTCGTCGCGAACTCCACGTGTCGACGGGCTTCTCGAGGCTCCCGCGGGCTTGGTGCGACCCTGTTTCCTCCCATGCCAGGCATCGGCTGGGCGGCGCCATCACTGGCTGCGCCTGAGCGCTGTCCCACGCTGTCGTGTTGCGTTGGTGTGCCGGACGAAATGACGATCGGCTCGTCCGATTGTGCAGATGCATTTGTCGGTGCGTGTGATGGCGCTCCGCCGTGAGCGTCGCAATTTCGAGCGCCGAATCTTCAAGTTGGCGCACCAGACGGTCAAGCTGCTCCTGCGTCAATGTGGCGAGCGTGAATTCGGCCATGGCGGGGGTGTCGGGCGAGCTCAGCGAGAGCCTCGGTCGTGGCCGTGCGTGCTTACGAGAGAGCACTACGAGCGGCGGTGCTGTGTCGCTGAGAGACGTCTACCCCCCCCAAAAAAAATTGAGATAGTGGGGAAGCGAAGGTGTGGGTGCAGTCCGAGAGGAGATCGTAAGCTCTGAATACCAAGTGTTACGAGTGCAAGTGAGTGAACGAACGAGAATTGCACTATCGAAGCAAGAGTCCAATGAGCGAAGGCATGAGCGAAGAATATATAGCGAAACTACAGTGGTAACGGTAATGGACTGTGGTTGTCGCGCGATGGGCCTGGGACTGAGGTTGGGAAAAGTGTCGAAGCGGAGATCCGGAGCGCGGGTTACCCGCCGAGCCGTGAGGTCGGGGTGCGACGTGCGAAGGTGGCGGGTGGATTGTCAATGCGAGGATTGCAAGTGGTAACGGTGCTGACTGTGGTGCTACAGTGATGTATGCGTTGAGCAGGGACGCGAAGGAAAAGGAGATTTTCCTTACAATAAGCTTGTTCCAGTCAGACAGGTATAATATGAACAAGAGAAGGGCCTATACCGCTAAGTTGTTCAAGGCTACTACCCTACCCTACGACTATTGATTAGGGGGCCAAGGAAGCCCTCCACATCCCTGATGGCATCATTCTACTCGTCATCCACGGCAGCGGCGGGGTTCTCGGCCTTGTACTTCTCCATGGCTTGCTTGTAAGCGTCCATGGCGGGAGCGGCCTTGTTGTTCCACTCCGCCTTCTGACCGTCCGACAGTTCGCCCCATGCCTTGCCTTGAAGCTGGCTCAGAGCACCGAACGACACGCCTGGGTTGGCCTCCGCCAGCTTGGCGCGGCCAGCAGAGCTGCGAGACAAAGCGGAAATCACAATAAGGAACTGGCATCGAACAGAATTGGGAACAAAATAAACAGGTCGAATCAGAAACTCACCAGAAGAGTTGGTACCCAGACATGGGCCTCTTGGGCTTGTTGGGGTCCTTGGCCGCCTTCTTCGTCTCAGCTGCAGGTGCCGGCTGTTGCTTCTTGGAAACTGCTGCCACCTGCTTGGCGACCTGCATCTCCAGCTGCTTCTTCGCCATGTCCTCCTGATCCATTAGCGCGACAGCCTCCTTCAAATCCTCCTCGTGTCTCCTCTGCTTCTCAGCCGCGACCTGGTCGGCGACAAGCTTATCAGCCTCCTGCTTCCTCGAGTTGTACGCGTCTATCTCCTTGGCGTACCGCTCCTTCTCCTTCAAGGCCAGCTTCTCGAACCGCTCGGCCTTCTTGGAGCCCTTGATCTTGTTCCACTCCTCGCCCAGCAGCTTCGACTCCTCGATCGGGTCACGTTTCTCAGCCGACCGCTCCGCAACAAGGTGCGGGCGGCGCTCGTTGCAGTACAGCATGAAGGCTGACAACGGGTGCTTGGGCTTCTCAGGGTCCTTCGTCTTTCTGCAAGGAAACTCGCCGAAGCCGGTAAGCATCCAATACCCGGAAAGAACGAACGTAGTCCAGAAAATGACGAAGAACATAAAGTCGGTACTTACTTCTTGTCATTCGCAGCTGACTCGGCGACCTCCTTCTGATGAGCTTCGTACTGCTCCAGAAGTTTCAAAGCTGCTTCCTTCTTCCTTTCCCCATGAAGCTTCTTGAGTGCAGCCTGCTCCCTGTTCTCTCTCTCGATCATCTGAGACAACCACAAGTTTGTCACCGTTAGCACGAGTTACCAGGAATCAAACTGACACCAAAGTTGCATGACAGGCAAATACTTACACTGTCATATTCAGCCTTCTTAGCTTTGTACTCCTCGCTCTCCTCGTTGAACTTGGCTTCGTATTTTTTCTTCTCTTCCGCAGAGACGGTCTTCCACATCTCGCCGAAGATCTTGGCAAGATCGGTGACGGAAGCGGTGGGGTTCTTCGCCTTCACCTTCTCGCGGACGTCGTTGCACCAGAGGACGTAAGAGGAGGTAGGACGCTTGGGCTTGCGTGGATCCTTGTCCTTCTTGTCGCCATCCTCGCTTTCAAGAGAGAGATCAAGGTCCTGCACCACAAACAGTTGAGACTGTCAGATGAAGTTAAGGAAGAAACGGGACGAAATTGTTGAAGAGAAACGGGACATTGAACATGCTGGCATAGGGAAACATTTGTCAGTCGTTTACCAGAACAGGCTCGAACGGCTTGTGCTTCTGAAGCTTCTTCAGCTCACGAGCCAGGCGCTCGTTCTCCTCAGCCTTGGCCTGAAGTGCCGCGTTCTTCTCCTCCAGAATCTGGTCGTTCTTCTGCTTCTCCAAAGTCACTTGCTCCAGCTTGGCTGTCAATGCCAGAAGCTCGTTCTCAATGCTTGGCCTTCGTTCCGCAAGCGGGCTGTCGGCATCGACGGCAGCAGCCTTCTTGGTAGCCTTGCCGCGGCCTTTAGCCGGAGCCTCGGATCTGGTCGGAACAGCAACTACTTCCTGATCGAGGGTATTCTCGCAATCAATAACCTTGTTAGCGCGTCTACCTCCAGCCATGTTGGATGAATAATTGAGCGTGGCTGATGAAGTTCCCAAACACCAAGTCAAGACGTGGACAACGAAGGCTGATGAACAAAGGATGTCACTTATCCAGCAACTAGGAATTGGCGAGAGTTTTCTAGGCAACTTAGACTTCTGTGCATGTGAATGTGCAGGCATACTTTTTTATATCCGTTTCAATTACCGAACCGTGTCATCAAAGGCGACCTTCTCTCAAAGCTGCATTGGAGCGACAGTGGCGAAGGCGACGAGGCACTTGAATGGCGGCTCGGGAGTGCACGCACTGTCTGGTAGCATGATGTGGCCGAAGGTGGCTCAGGGGATGTCAGGGTCTTCCAAGGAGGGTGAAAGTTGAAGAGAGGAGAGATTTTTTTCCGCCTGACTTTCAAACTCGCGGTCTGGCTAGAGTGCCTGTGTGTGGCTCTGGGGCCATCTGACTCGAGTTATGGCGCCAAACCTTGGTTTCAGGAGGCTCTGATTGGCCGAACGAGTGGCGTCAGGCAGTTTGAAATTTCCGAACCCGCAGGCTGTGTGCTTGGGTTGGGAGCGTGGTGGTTCCAGATTCCACCTTGGCCGAAAGCAAGTTTCGTAAGGTAACCTGAACATTTCGCTAGCCACATTTCCACAACCAATTGTTTTAGAAAGTGAAGTGTTCCGGATGGTGTATATGGATAAAATGGGAATTATATGTCCAAGTTTTATGTGTCGGGTCTTGTAGCGGAACAATGAAGTCCCATAACGAATTCGAGCTTGAGGGCTGCACTTACTTGGCAGAAGTCACCAACACAGACCAACCACAAAAGTTCCGATCTTTCCCCAACAGAACAGCTAGGTCTCGCCACGTGGAAATGCGACGTCATAGGTGCCAGCCTTATCATTCGAGAAGCGCCATGTCAGCAACTCCCTCTTGCAGAACATCCAGGCCAGAAAGAACATCACAGGAACCCAGTGCCCCCTACGAGAAGGCATTCTGAATAACAAGGACGTGCTACGTTTGCCCATCAAAGTAGCGTCCATCAATCTCCTGGTCATTTCTTCCTCCACTTACATCCTCTCAGCAGCCATGGCCGCCACCACCACCTTGAGCTCCAGCTCTGTTGCCACATCTCTTGGCGCCTCGTCCTACGCCAAGGACATCTCGGCTTCCAGGAGCCTGACCCTCGGCTTCTCGAGGCAAGACGGTCTTGGTAAGACCTTCAAGGCTAGGTGCGCAAAGGCCGCCAAGGCCACTGCCGTCCCCGCCCAGAAGTCGACTCGCGTCTTTGCCGTGAAGGTATGCGTCAACAGCTGGTTCCTGTGCTGTAGATGTGAAATGACTTCCTATTGAGGCAGGACTCACTTTTAACTCAATTTGCTTTTTCTGCCAGGCGGAGGCCCCCCTTGTCGGCAATGTCGCCCCTGACTTCGAGGCTGATGCCGTCTTTGACCAGGAGTTCATTAAGGTATGTAATGCTCGCAGCTAGAATTTGTTTTCCTTATGGTCAATCTCCGCTATGTCCCATTTGTCCGAATTCTTTTGTCTGGATTATTGTTTAAATTGCCTGTCTACTGGCCACATCCTGGCTGTTTGTTTCAGGTCAAGCTGAGCGAGTACCTGTCTCAGGGCAAGTATGTCGTCCTCTTCTTCTACCCTCTGGACTTCACATTCGTCTGCCCCACTGGTACGATACTAGTTCAAATTTAACATATTAATGGGAGGCGTGTAACTAGTCGCGTTCTAACATCTGTTTTGAATTCCCCGTTCCCTGCATCGCAGAGATTACTGCCTTCAGCGACCGCTATTCGGAGTTCGAGAAGATCAACACCGAGGTTCTTGGCGTCTCTGTGGACAGCGTGGTATGTCAATCGTTCTTTATAATCCCTCCCCGTTAAGACGATTGTTGGTGCGATGAACTTTTTCTAAGAACTCCCGTGTTTCTTTTTCTCGCAGTTCTCTCACCTTGCCTGGATTCAAACCGACCGCAAGTCCGGTGGTCTTGGCGACCTCAACTACCCCCTCGTGGCTGACCTGACCAAGTCCATCAGCAAGAAGTACAACGTCCTCATGGAGGATGTAAGTTATCTCCCGCTAGCCCAATGGACGAATATGCGTAACCACCGAAGTTCATAAGAGCGCTTATTCACACAGCGACTAACATAATTAGGTTCGAATATGTAATCCAGTCTTCCGAATTTTGCTGGGTGGCGGGAAATGGCGTTCACGTTCGTCCTGGATTGTTCGTGTTGGCGTACTATGCTTATTGTGCAGGGCATTGCTCTGCGTGGTCTGTTCATTATCGACCCGAAGGGTGTTATCCAGCACGCCACCATCAACAACCTCGCCATTGGCCGTTCCGTGGATGAGACCCTGAGGACACTGCAGGCCGTGCAATACGTGCAGAGCAACCCCGACGAGGTGTGCCCTGCTGGCTGGCAGCCTGGGGAGAAGACCATGAAGCCCGACCCCAAGGGCAGCAAGGAGTACTTCGCCGCTGTCTAAACTGCCCTCTTGATCAGGCCGATTCAATGAACAGGCCTGGTTCAATTTTTGCCACTTCTGTTGATGAATTTGTCCCAGTATATCAAAAATTTTTATCAACACGTAGGTATCTCCAAACACCTGACCTAAGGTACAAGTACTAAAAAAATTTGACTAACGCACATGAATGTGGTGCTGGACTTGTTGAACCTCATGAACCTGGTGTATTGCCCACACAGCTTGGAGTGTAGGTTTCCTGTAAGGGGAAGTGATTGGGCCAATAGTCTGCTGAGAAATGCTCTCAATCCCTACCCCACAAGTAGAGTATCGGAACCAAACTTGCATGTTGGGAGCTACTCTCAGGGTACATTCCGCTGTAGAATATGTCCCAATCGATGTGTCTCAATCAATTGGGACGCGTACGGCCAGCATAAGCTGCCAGGTGTCGGAATGCCGTAGCGCTCGTGAAGGTCGCCGACTGTAATTATCATTGGGTGGCGTGATTCTCGGAACTGTCGCCAGCTAATTGCAACACTACCCAGCAATCGCACGCAGCCCCAAATGTCATCCCATGCATAATGTATCTGGACCACATTTTGCGACACCCAGTTTCCCCCCAAACGCGTTCGGAGCACCCTCATTGGAGGAAACGAACCGCGCAGAAATATTGACAGGGACGCGCACAGCCCCGCCAATGTGCCCTCCCCCCGTCCCCGTGCACCTCCGCAACAACTCCTTCTCTCAAACCAGTCAACGTTGTGCTCCGTGTGTGAAATTGTGCTCTATCATCTTCAACCATCGCGATTAGCTCTAGATCCAGATCTGAAAGCGAGCCCACCGCAAGCATGGCTCGTAAGCGCAAGGGGCATGCTCTTAATGACTGCCCCAAGGACTTAAACGAAATCCCGTACATCCGTTGGATGAACCAGCAAATCGCCAACGGCCGTCACCCCAGGGGCTTGTCCGCGCCACCCGTTCTTGACGGCCAGGGGTCTACTGCACCGCCGCCTACGGCTGGGCCGTCGCGTATGCGTCGTCAGCCTACCAGGACGGCGGCAACACACCGGCCCGCCGTGGAGGAACACGTAGCAGATGACGACGACGACGAAGGCGACGACGACTTTGCCTCCGACGACGAGGACGACGAACCTGAGGACCAAGGAATGTCGCCCAGCGACGACGACGACGAGGAGGACGCCGATGACACCGAGGACGACGACACCGAGGAAGCACAGCCGCGAGCCCCGCCGCCGAAACGGAAAACCGCACGCAAGGCCGCGTCTGATAAGGGCAAAGGCAAGGCGGCGCAACCTGCAGCGCGCCCGGAGCCGCGTAAGAAACGGGCTGCTGCACCTGTCGAGCGCGGTTTATGGTCTGACAAGGAGAGCACCATCTTCGCTGCGGCAAAGTGGTTTCTCAAGGAGGAGCTCGAGCCCCTCAAGGGGAAACAGGGTACCCACTACTGGGCGCGGCTACTCGCACATATCAAGGAGTCGAACCCCGGATGGATCCGGGGTGTCAACGCGCTCCAGAAACAGTGGCGTAACCTAATAGTGCTATGGCGTGAGTATAAGAAGGCCGACGAGGGGTCGGGCAACGGCTCCGTGGAGAAACCACCTTGGTACCCGTACGTTGACCTGCACAACCAGGACACCGCCGCAGCCGCACCTCATGCCGTGGACGGAGGTGGCGCGAATAACGTCAACGTCCTGGCAGGCATGGAGGTTCCGCAATCGTCCCAGCCAGGCACGTCAACCCCTTGTTTCACTGGTGAGTCCGGAGATTTATCGCTCGCGTTGTGGTTCTCGTCCACGTTGTTTCTTGAACATTTTAATTAAAAAAAAAACATGCATGCAACGCACACCGACAACGGGTTATTCTATGAGCTAACACTAATGCGAATGTCCCTGCTATGTCGCAGCTCCTCCGCCAACGACTCCTGCCACACCGAGGCGTGCCCGGGTGCATGAGACGGCCACCATGCAAGCGGCCATGCTCGTATCTGCCACCATCAAGGACTGCCATGGCGACGCTATGAACCGCATCGAAGGCCTCGTCCGTGAATGGATGGCGCAAGATCTCAGACTTGCCCGTGAGCGTATGACAGAGTCGGCTCCCCCGGATGTGCACCGCACGCCCCATGAATTCTCTCCACCGCCGCCACGCGGGGAGTCCGCGCCTGCTCCCGAAACCGCACGGACGCGTGTGGACGAGGGCGACGGCGACACCGCTATGCCGGCGGATGAGGATGTGGAAGTATGGGTTCGCGGCGCCGACGATTAGCGTAAGATGACTGCAGCGCCTCCCCTAGTCGTTTTCGCCTTTCCCTGAGTGCTTGTTGTGTAGGGGGATCGCACGGTTCCCATTTGAATGCCGCGACAGCACCCGGCGTCCACCACGGATCTCGGTTGCGTGGTATGTTCGCCCATGCCATGTTGCGCCGCCTGACATCCTGCATGTCTTCACACATGTTGTGCAGGATGATACAACACGCGGCCCCGGCGAGTAAGCGCCACAGCCTGCAGTCGTTGCGCTGGCC